GCAGCACCATCTCTCGGCGTCGAGTCTGACGTGTGGTTTTTGGACTTGCAGTGTGAGCAGGTAGATCGCATCAAAGCATCGGGCCGCACAGTGTGAGAACATGCATTGTTAGCTGTGAACTTTCAAAGCCTGAGATTTCATCGTACAGTTTGAGCTGTATCTGTGTCTGACGATTAAAAATATCATACAGTGTATGCCCGGCCATTACTCCATATCTAGCTGACAGCTTTACAACTGTTGTAACCCCATCAGTGTCTTAGTGGAATCCAATCAGCTTATAGACCAAAGTGTGTATTTTGTCTCAATTTACCAAGCATCTATTTATCTAGCAGCAAAATTACAGCATAATATTTAACCCCCACTGAACAACACGTAAAAACTTTGTACCTTTGGTAATTTATTTGCTTAAAATCCAGTTAGAAACTGGAAGCACAGCTGTATACATACTGTATATAGCACATTCTCACGGTAGAGGGCAGTTAAGCATGCTTTTTCCAACAATTGCACTACAAAGGAGGGATACTTCATTGTTTACTTTCCTGATTCATATCGCACAAATTATATCATCAATGCAAAGCTAGCGTGATGGCGCCATCAGACACACGGTAGGAAAGGGAAAATGCAGCTTGCCAGCGGGGGTCAGATCCAGCTCTTTTTCCAAATAGGAAAGGAGCCAAATGCTGATTGTTAGCGGATTGAGAAGTGTTTGAAAACGCCATGTTAACCTGCTAACTTCAGTGGGAAAGCAGCTTAAGTTTCGTCCCTTCTTATTTACCTGCTTAGTTTCTGACTCTGTCCTTTAGTAATTCCTTTCTTGCAACTTTTCCGAGGTTTCTACTCATTTTTTATTATATCTTTCGTTCCTATACTCTTTTTTTTTTTTTTTCTAGCTGTCTGTTTCTATCTCAAATTTATTATGTAATTTCTTTTCTTGGTTATCTCGCTAATTCCTTAGTTTCTTCATTTCTCCCTATTCCTCATTTTGTTCCTTCCACAGGAATGTATCCCATTGGTTAATTTCTAAATTTATAAATTACGATTTTAATCTTGACCAATGAATTTTGAACTTTGAGTGACAATGTCTCAAATTTCTGTGGAAATAATTATATTGTACCATACAACAGTTAGATTTGGTAAAGCAATCAAAATCAGTCAAAAGTGTGGCGCTTCGAAAAAATGTTGTTTTAAGGAACGTTTTTTAAATGTTTTATACAGTGCAATGCATAGATAATTGTGACTGGACAAACGTTAGTGGTTATGTGATCCATTCTGAAATGAAAAAAACCTAGAAAATAACAAGGTTTTACAGCTTCTATTTGCTAGATATTGCTTTTTTATCTACAGTAATTGCTGGATGAGTAAATAAAAATGATAACGCTATGTCATCTCTGACTGTTTAGAACAGCCTAAATCTGAGAGAGTAAAAAGACCCCAGCTATTTGAAGAAGAAAATAGGGGTCTTGGTATCACCTCAAATAGCAGCAGGATTAATGAGACAATTACAGCAATTATAAACTCAATTCCTGAGTCTTAGAGGAAACCAGACAGTCCCATAAAACCCAAACACACAGTCCTCCTCCACGTAAACAAGCACAGAATGTGAACATGGACACAGACACTAGTATTGAACTATCCACAAATCCTTGGCAGATAAGGAGACACTGCTTGAATGATTTTAATTAAATGTCTCTCAGCTTTTGCATCACAATTCATCAGACTACAGCTCCTCCATAGATCTGACCTTTCAGTTGGAACAAAGAGAGAGAAAAAAATCTGTTTTTCTGTAAAAGCAAAATAAAAAAAAATACAGCGTGTTTCTTCTGTGTTATCCTCCTGATTTCATATGAGCCACTGGGATATTTCCTATAGGGATGTCAGGTAAAAAATTGACTCACCAACACAGCTTCAGTGTAGCGCGTATTTTTCTCAGCACGTTATTACTGTATTTTCTGCAGGGGTGGGATGGGGTTAGTGTTGCTGCAACAGGCAAGAGTATTATTAGACAAACAGTCCATTAACAGCACAAATTGAATGCAATCCCCCAGGAGCTCTACATCACATCCTTACAAAACAACTCCTGCTTTTTGTACCTTACCACTTACAGTCCAGTCAAAACTAAGTGAACAAAAAACAGAAATGGTTTTTAGTTTTTTCTGGTACTTTGAAAAAAATGAGTCAAGTCTTAAAAAACAATACAGCACAGAAAATATTAACATTATTTTTTCCCTCAGCAGTAGATTTTATTTATTATTTTGCAAACTGATACACCTCAGAAATTTCATCTTAATTATTTTAGTGTAAAATGGAAAGCTTAACTATATCTTTGCTGTTTCATTAGCGAAAGAATAGTTCAAAGATCCTAAAACTCAATCTCAGTCTTTGTTAGCCTCAGTTTAAATATTCCTTATTGAGGTCTATGGTAGAAGAATTGGAAAAAGACAGAACAAGTATTCTTTATTTGAAA